TTCGATCAAGGCCTTTGGCGCTGCTGCTCGGGCCATTAGACACTCCAAATCCTCCATGGGCTTCGTTTACTCGCTTACCGGACATGTCTCGGTAGAAAATAAGTCTAGGCCTCATAGTTGATCCAAATGGCTTCATTCCACTTCGACGTGATGCATGACTCAAGTATCTATCTTTCCATATCAAGATCGTAACTTTTGGACGTCGGGAACTCCTCCGCGCGCGGCCAAACTTCCGAAGCTTCGTTCTGCGCGCAGCGAGAACTAACACTTGGAGATAAAATGATCTTCTTGACTTGGAAACTTGCATGGATCTTGATTTAGGGCTCTTTTACTCCTTTTTGCATCCTTTTTGATTATTTCACCTACAAAGACTTCAAATCCCACAAATACAAGAAAACTACCTCTAAAGGCAAAGAATCTTGCAAAAACCGTTTGAAAACATAAGTAATTATATAGTAAAATCATGTAAAATATGGTGATATCAACTCCCCCAGACTTAGCCTTTTGCTTGTCCCCAAGCAAACTAAGCAGGAAAAGAGGTTTGAAAACGTGAGAACTCTCAAATCTTTTGGAAATCCAAATTGACTTATGCTTTAGTAATCCACATGAAACAGCATTGGCAAGTTTTGAATTAAGAACAAAGTACATACCATGAGTTTTGCGATTTTCCCAAAGCGGTCCACCTCTCCTTGGACAATCCAATTCGCCACCCTTGACTCCTTTCATTTCTAAAGGTGTGGTCTCAACTAGGGAGTATCGATCAGCCGGCTTTTAGATTCTTTCTCATCCCCTTGTTTGGCACTTGTCTTTTACTCCATGTTTCTCCTCTCTCTCTTCTCACTTCTTTGAGTTGATTCATCCCTTTTTTAGGGTAGCGAAGTATTTTTTTATTCAACTCCTTCTCTTTATTATAGAGGTTTTGCTTGGATCTTCCACAGACGCGAGTATTGATGGTGTTTGCCACCGAATCCCCGGTTGCTTGGATTCATAGGCCTTCCATAGACGCGAGTATTGATGGTGTTTGCCACCGAATCCCCGGTTACTTGGACCTTACGCTTTTTCTTTTAATTTGAAGGGGAGAGAGAGGGAAGCACGAACTCACTAAGACTTTTTCATTTGATGGAGAGGATGAGGAATCATGCCATTTGTATGCCAAGCCCCTAGCTGAGAAGATTAAGTTCATTAAGGGCGGAGTCAAAGATGGATCCTTCTCAAGTCTTTAGAGATGTAGGCGTTTTTGGTAGATCGATCAACTCATAGTGCACCTGTGGTAAGATGTATTGCCAAGAACTGCTCAATGGTCACTTAAACATTAGTACAACCATGGTTAGATCCAAGATAAGGTCATGATTCTCGACAAAAATTTTGACTCAATAAAAACGACTCGATAAAAGGGAAAAAATGCAAATGAAAATGCCAAAATGAACAAACATTGTTAGTAATCCCCCCAGACTTAACTTGCACCGTCCCGGTGAAATCAAATCGGATTAAGAGAGGCATAACATGAAGTTCAAATGAAAAATTGAAAAGAAAAAGGTTTAGGATGATGTTACCAAATGTCGACCAATTTATAATGAAGATCAGTTCTGGTTTGGGTCATTCTACACTTCTTTAGGCAATATTGGTCGGTGAGTTTTTAATTTCAGGCCTTGGTTTCCGCCGGTTTGTGTTTTGGCCGAGATTGGTATATTCGGTCGGCCAAAATGTGGTGCTGTGAACTACAGAACAAACCGTCAAAAATTTCATGACCTATATTGAAATTTCATCGACCAACCTGGTATTTTATAGCCTCTGGTGAAGTTTGGGAGCATTTGTACGAGCGGATTGAGACTTCCTTCACAAAATGGTCAAGTCGGCTCCGGGAAGGAGTTTCCTTGGCCATGTGAAGTTTGGCTCGTTCCTTTTCGTTTCTTCCTGCATAAAAGTGTTAGTTAAGCTCAAAGAAGAGTTTTCCAACCGGTTGGCGCGCCTATGCCGTGATTTGGTTTTGTCGGCCATATTGCTTGCGCGCCATCGGCCAGAATGAGCTCCGTCGTCTATCTCATGATCCGTGATGATTTCTCCGTCCTATCTTTTGGATTTGCCGACCAAAATGTGATTTTATGGTCGCCTGTGAAGTTTGGTGGACTTTGGTCACGCCGTTTAGGAGTTGGCCGTAATTGGTCTCCTTGTGCGCGGTATGGCCGAGAGAAATGTCCGGATTGAATTTCTTCAAATCCACTCGGGCCAATTGAGATTTTCTTCGACGAATTGTTTTAATAACCCTCCTGTGTCATTCCCAAGTGGTGGCCGCCTTGTTTCGTGTGATGGCCTATGTATCTCCTTTTAACCTCCCTTTGGCCGCCATATGCATGTTGGTTTTGAGGTGGTTATAGGTTTGCTCTATTTCTCCTTCCTGTCAAATGGTTAACTCCTTGCAAAACACTTGAAATCATGATTAGATGGTTTCTCAGATTGTGATCCTCAAGTGACCAACTTGAAGTTCACAATCCAAGAGATTAAAGCACAAACTATAAATTCTTATTTGGTCTTGGTCAATGATCCAAATTTCAAACTATAGTTCAATCTCTTGTAATTTCAGTGAGCAAAATGAGTTTTGACAAGTGATTATGTATTCTTTCCAATCATCAAAAGTAAATCAAGTTAAACCATGAAATATATTTGATAAAGTGCAATGGTTTAAACGATTTTTCAAGTGAAGATCAAGAGTGATTAGAAATGAATACTAGGTGAGAGTTTACTTACCTTTTGGAAGAGAAACGCCTTGTACAAGGGTGGGCTCATTGGGTGGGACACTTCCATTGTTTGGTCTCCTTTGGGTCTTCATCCTAAGAAAATATTTTTGTATTTTTGTTTGATTTTTGAAAAACTCCTGCAAAATAGAAATAGATAGTTAAAAACCATATGGGTTGCCTCCCATAAAGCGCTTTTGTTTTAAGTCATTTAGCTTGACTCCTTTTCTTTCTTTCAATCGTGGTGAAGAGTGGCTGAAGGGCAAAGGATCCCTTTAGCTTCTCCATTCTCCGGTGTAGTGGATTCTTGTGGTGGTGTTGTCGCGCCATAGTCATCTCTCACATCATCTTTGAAAACCAATGCCTTGGGGAAAAGCTTCATAGTTCTCTCAAGCTTCTCTTCAATGGATTGGTCACCTTTAAGCTCCGAATCTTTTGGTGTAAAGATTCTTATCTTGTGAAAGAGATTAGGTGCACCATTAGTCTCCTCTTCAGCTCCATATTCATCAAAGGTTGGAAGTAAGATGGAGTTGATTCCTTAAAGACATTTTCATGCCTCGGCTCCAATGTTTTCTTCTTCTCCTTTGGTTTTGGGTAGCGCTCACTCTCTCTTCTTTCTCCATGCAGCATAGCTTCTTTCTTAGGTGAGAGTGGCTTCTTCTGGTGGTAGCTTGGTCGCACTTGGCACTGACCTGAAATTTACACTTGGGAAAAAGATATCTTGCCGGATGTGGCCAAAAGATAGATGATTCCCAAAGTAGTTTAGGACCGCTCCAGCTGTAGCAAGGAATGGGGTTCCAAGAATCAGTTGATTCCTCTTTGAGCCTTCCCAAATCATGACTTGAAAGTCAGTTGGGACCGATCGACCCCCTATTTCCATCATGACATCTTCAAGCATTCCATAGGTTCCATGCACGATAGATCCGCGAACTCGACTCTTATCTTGGGGCTCTTGAATTCCTTGAATCCCAAATCTTTTGCAAGTGCAAGAGACATTAGATTAACATTAGCACCAGTATCACATAGGCAATCGTGGAGTTGAATGCCATTGATACTTGAAGTTATCACAAACTTCCCCGGATCTTCTTGTTTTTGTAGTGGCTTGCCTTCAAGTCTTCTCTTGTAAGCTCTTCTTGATTCCCAACTGTATCTCTCCGGTTTGTGCCTCTCCTTAGGCTCATTTTCTTCTTCTTCCCCTTGAGATAGTGTAGGAACAATTGTGCCATCTATAGATGAGACAACACTACAAAATTTTTGAGTGTTTACCTCATTTTGTTTCTTGGCCGCCTCGGCTGTTTGAGCGATTTGCACCTCAAGCTTTTGAACGTGAGTAGAGAGAGACCCAAACTTGCTGCTTAGATCACCAAACATGTGATCAAGCTTCTCATATAGGTTCTTGGTGATCAATCTCTGCTCCTCCATGTATTTCTTCAACGCCACGTCAACCTTCTCTCCGGTTTGGGTTGGATTTGTTTCTTGAGAAAAAGTGAATGGTTGCTTCACTTGGTACATCCCTCTTGGATAGACTTGTTGTGGCTTGGATTGGTATTGGCCTCCTTGATACGCTCCTTGATTGGGGTAGACTTGGTCATTTGGATTCTCCACATTGTTGCTCCGGTATGATAGGTTTGGATGCGCGCGAAATGGTGGATTGAATCCTCTATTCCCATAGTTTCCTCCAATGTAGTTGACTTCCTCTAGATTCTCTTCAGTGCCATCTCTCATGAAATCCATAAGAGTGTCTTCATTTGTGGCTAGGGCATCTTCAATGGCGTGAACTCCTTGTCGGCTTTTAAGTAGTTGTGAAACCATGTTCCTTAGCTCCGAGATTTGAGCTGATTCTGATGAGCTCGTGGTCTTCACGCTTCTATTGTAGTCAGGGCATGCATTGGCATCACTAGCAGCGAGATTCTCAATCAAAAGCTTTGCCTCCGGCACCGACTTGGTCATGAAATTACCATTGCTCGCGGTATCGAGAGAAAGCTTGTATTTATGATCAATCCCATTGTAAAAGATGTTCCAAAGGTTACCTTCTGAAAAGCCATGGTTAGGGCAGCTTCTTGTGTACTCCTTGAATCTCTCCAAAGCTTCATAGAATGACTCCATTGAATCTTGCTTGAAACCAGAAATCTTGCTCCTTATAGAGTTGGATCTTTGCTTAGTGTAGAATTGGTTCAAGAAAGCTCCCTTGTATTCATTCCATGTTGTAATGGACTGAGGTGGTAAAGATTTTACCCATCTTAGCGCCTTGTCACTTAGAGAAAAAGTGAATAGCTTGCACTTGAAGTAATCCGGCGATACTCCATTAACACGAGTTGTGCTACATATCTCCTCAAAGGTGTCGACGTGATCAAGAGGATGCTCAGTGGGCAAACCATGGAATTGGTTTTGCTTCACCAAGGCAATGATCTGCGGTTTGATCTCAAAATCGTTCCTTGGAGGTAGAGGCGGTCGGATTGGATTCCGATCCATAAAGAAAGCATCGGACGAATCAAAGTCTCCCATAGTTTGGTGCCTTGGATGCTGCGCGTTTGGCACTCTCCTTGGAGGTGCGTGAGGTTGGTCTTGAGGCATCCCTTGGTTGTCACCGTGACGATGATGTCCATTTGCAAACGCCGGTGGTGGTCGCGGCGGGTTAAGAGGTGGCTGTAGCGGCTCAGCTGCATCGGGCGCGTTCGGATTGGGTGGAGGAACGTCTCTGGCCGGTGCTGGCTGGTCAGCTCTAGCTTCTGCTGGATTAGGAGGATCATTGGCTCTCCTCTCTTGGTCGGGCGGGTTGTGTGGCCTATTTGGCGCGCCTTCTCCGCCTGGATTCATTCTTTCTCTCTTAGTCGCCTAAGTGTGCGCTCAAGTTGGTCAATGTCAAGATCTTCTTCAATGGTTGTATTTGGATTGGACCTTCTTGTCATGCACCTTAGAAACACACAAAGAGAGAGAGTTAAGTAAAATTTTTATGAGTTTTTAAGATTTTATGAAAAACAAAAACAAAGAAAAGTGAAAGATGAGATGAGCTAGTCTTGAAATCAATCAAGAGGTGTGAAGGAAAAGCAACTCCTCCCCGGCAACGGCGCCAGAAAGCTTGATGGCGGGTTTAGATTGCCTCAAATTTTCACAATTTATAAACCCAACTAATGAGCTGCAAGTGCACAGCCGTGTTGTAGTCGGGGTCGAACACGAGGAGGAAGTGTTCTCACTTAACACCTTGTGAGATTGGTTTGTAGCTAGCTCGCAATATGAGGTGGTTTTGGACCTAGAATGAGAAAAAACAAAAGAAATGTGAGTGAGTTTGTAAACAATTTAAAACAAGAGTTAGGCAAAGGACAATCATATGGAGCAATGATGAAAAGATAGTTGCATGGGATGTGTGTAGAGCCGTCTTGAACATGAATCACTAGTGTATGGTCTTTCCACTGTCGTGGCTCCAACCACTATGTTTAAAACAACCTAATATACTCAGCTTTCGTTGGCTATTAGAATTGCAAACATGCATTACAAGGTTCAAGATTCAATTGTTCACAATAAACCATAACTCAGCTTTCGTTGGCTATGATCTATTGCTCACCAAATACTAGTTTTGAGATCTAGATTCAGCACTGTCGTGGTTCTATTTCTCTAAGATCAGATTACTAGATGTACGGTAGAGTAATCATGCATTAAGCTCAAGTAAAGGTGAAGATCCATAAGATAAATCCCAATAAGTTGCAACACAATCAAATCATCACGGCCACCATAGATCTCCTCGGCCTAACTAAGAGATCTACTCGGCCATGATGCAAACAAGCAAGCAAAGCATGATTGTAAACATTATGCAAGTATTAAAAGAGATAAAGGGATGAAGAAAGCTTCTCTATTGATGAACAAAGTCGGATTCTCCCTTGAAAACTCTTAAGATCAAGTTTATAGAAATGGAAACAATGAAAAAGAAAGAACAAGAGTTGAGCGGCGCCTCCTTCTTCTTGGACGATCTCCTAGGGCTTCTCTCCTCTCTCTCTTCTCACACGTACACTCTTTGATAATTTCTCGACTCGACTCTCTTCTTCAGCGGCTAAAAACATGTATATATGGGCGAAGTCGCGTAGGGTTTTCTTCATGCCGGAAAAGGAAAGTTTCCCGCGAGCAAAGCCTTCTTCTCCACGTCGTGTATGGGCCGACATTGTACCAAGGAAAGCTCCAAACATTAGCCAGGCCTCTTCTCTATTCGATCAAGGCCTTTGGCGCTGCTGCTCGGGCCATTAGACACTCCAAATCCTCCATGGGCTTCGTTTACTCGCTTACCGGACATGTCTCGGTAGAAAATAAGTCTAGGCCTCATAGTTGATCCAAATGGCTTCATTCCACTTCGACGTGATGCATGACTCAAGTATCTATCTTTCCATATCAAGATCGTAACTTTTGGACGTCGGGAACTCCTCCGCGCGCGGCCAAACTTCCGAAGCTTCGTTCTGCGCGCTAGCGAGAACTAACACTTGGAGATAAAATGATCTTCTTGACTTGGAAACTTGCATGGATCTTGATTTAGGGCTCTTTTACTCCTTTTTGCATCCTTTTTGATTATTTCACCTACAAAGACTTCAAATCCCACAAATACAAGAAAACTACCTCTAAAGGCAAAGAATCTTGCAAAAACCGTTTGAAAACATAGTAAATTATATAGTAAAATCATGTAAAATATGGTGATATCAGACAGCGGCAACCAACGGTGGCGGAAGGGTTCAAAAGAAGATTCCACTGTGAGTATAACGACAGTAGAGGGAAACAGACACAAATACGTATATCACTGATATATGAATATGACTTACAGAAGTATACTTCGGAGGAGGAAGGGGAAAAGGCGGCGGCGACGATAGTGGGTCTGTCTTTCTTCTTCGACGGCGACGGTGGGCGGAGAGAACATGCAATCGCCTATCCGACAAAGAGAGAGAATGGAACGGACTTGGGTTTGTGAAAGTGAAATGTGAAAGTGAAACCCTGATTTTGGGTTTCTCACTTTCGACTATGGCCGGTTAACTTTGGTTAAACCCAATTACAACAAACATTAGAATTTCCTTCACCGGTTCTGTTCAAAAACCGGAATTGATGTACAAAGTCTACTCGTGAAGTCTACAAATTGAACTTTTAATGAGAAATTTATTCGCCCAAAATATTTCGTTTCCCGCCCTAAATTTCGTTTCCCACTCGTTTTTTTGAATAAAGACTTCATAGCAAAGTCTAACTATGAAGTCTACCGATGAAGTCTGACTTACCCTAAACCCTAAATCGAATTTTTGAGATCAAAGCTATAGAAAACATCAATTATGATATATAATCACAATTTACATTATAAACTATAAATTCATTAGCTTTAAATCGTTAAACAAACCGCAAACAATTTTTTATGTCAAAATTCTCTAAACCCTAACAATCATACTCATAAACCCTATACATTGTACCTCAAACACTAAGCTTGATGATTGGTTTACTCATGAAACTTATAAACTGATTAATTTCCATGAAATTTTATTTTACATAGATAGGATTTGTCTTTCATTTAGATTATTTATAATTTTTTTAAGCCTAAATATTTTTTATAGATTTTAAACTTTAAATTTAAGATTTTGTTATTTGGTAGACTTCTTCAGTAGACTTCACACAATATTTTTTGGATTATACCATAATTTGTATTACCGATTTTAAATTGATCAATTTATATGCAAATTTATTTTTCATGGATAGTACTTGTCTTTTTTAACTTATGTGTAAATACCTTCATCAAAATATTTTTAAAGATTTCAAACTTTAAATTTACGATTTTGCTATATATTAGACTTCGGGAATAGACTTCACGCAGTTTATAGGTTACAAACATAATTTCTCTTACTTGAGTTAAATGGAGTCATTTTTATGCAAGTTTATTTTTCTTGGATGCCAAATGTTCTAATCTTATTTATATATAATTTTTTTTGATCAAAACAATTTCCTATAATTTTATAAATTAAATTTTAGTTGTATTTAGGGATTAGACTTCATCATGAAGTCTAATACGTTGTAGACTTCATGTATAGACTTTAAACAGGGTAAAACAGACATTGTGACCAGCGTTTTTTTCTTTGTTCACAAGGGCTTGGTTTGTAATTCTACATGCCCAGAAGACTAGTTTTGCTCTAAATGCAATATAAGGTCTACTTTTGCATTTCAAATCAAATTGTGAACTATATTTGGCAATTCGCCCTTAAAGAATATCTCTCTATATTATTAGCTTAAGAAAATCTCTCAAAACTTAAGCTCTCTTAATCTCTCTCTAAACTCATAAGTTATGTCACAACTTGACATCTCCTTATATAGCCACACACAACTCCTAATCCTATAAGAACTCAAAACTATCTAATCCTAATATCTCTAGGATTCCATATCTTGATAAGATTAGCTTTCCTTGTGGCTTAAGCTTTCTTCAAGCTTACTCCAACATAAAGAAAGTGGTAAACGTCATTGTTCTTGTAAATCACTCTTAAAAATTATACAAAATACACTTATTTACCAACATTGTCAATTAATTAATGAACAGAAAGTGTTTGCAAACAAGGTTAAAAAAAAAGGAGAATAATGTATTAATATTTAAAAGTATAGATAAATAATAATATTGGATGATCTTATTATATAAAGCTGGATGCGCGCGACGTGGTTGCGACACGTAGGATTTTTATAAAATTCAGGATCGCGACATGTGTCACTTTTAAGTTTATGTCTGTTAAGATCGTGACATGTGTCTTAGGAAAAAAGGAGAACTTAAAAAAAAAGAATTCCAGAAAAATGTTAATTAAAAAAACGAAATTTAATTTAATATATTATATCAAAAAGGAAAAAATAATATTTGTTATATCCAAACAGAAAAAGGTTTCCCATTCATCAATTTTTTATTATATAAAGTTGGATGCGCACGACGTGGTTGCGACACATAGGATTTTTATAATTTATAAGATCGCGACATGTGTCACTTTTAATATTACGTCCGTTAAGATCGTGACACATGTCTTAGAAAAAAAATAATAATAAAAAATTTAGATAAAGGAAATTGTTTTTAAAAAATTAATCCATTACAGTTAAAAGAAATAAAAATATATTTGTCATATCCTAATAGAGAAAGGTTTCCCATTCATCAAATTAATATTATCCAAACAAATAATAAAATCAAAATAATGTAATAAAATAAAATCCTATTTGTACATGGAATATGTTATGTAAACTAAATTTCCTATAACTGCATGTAATAGGTTACTTGAACCCTATAAAAGAGAGTCAAGATTTCTCAATCATAAATTCATCAAAACAAATTCATCAAATCCCTTTGATTATATTTCTCCAATTTAAAAATCATGTTTTTGAAAGTTTTGTGATACATAGGATTTTTATAACTGACAAAATTGCGACATCTGTTTTAGAAAAAAAAAAAAATTCTCGAAGTATGAAGATCGTAACATGTGTCATGGAATAAAAATAAAAAAAATTAATATGTATAAGACTAACTAAAAATTAGAAAAACAGATAACAAATAATTAAAATGAAAAAATAATATCCATTAAAAGTAATAAAAAAACAGGACAAATAATAATTTACAATTAAAAAATCATTTTGTATACTGTCTATTAAGAAAAGAAAAAAAAAATTTAAAAGGAAAAAAAACAGAATATATAGTATTTATAATGGTCCGAGGCAAAAAAAAAATTGAGAAAGAAAACATATAAATAAAAAACTAACAAAATAATTATCAAGCAATTAACTAATATTAAAAAATTATATTGATATTCTAATTTTAAATAGTTTGATTTTCAATTTTGTTAGGTAAAAAAATTGAAATAAATATTTCATCAATTAAAATCTCTTGAATGGAATAATAAAAGTTTGATTAATTAATCAATTGATCAGATTTAGACATGTTAAGTCTTTCTGTATTGGATAAAAAAAGAATATTAAAACAAATTAAAAGTATTACCAATCTTATTTTATTTAAATATTTTTTATCGGGTTTTCAATATTTTTTTATGTTTAAAAATGATCAAATTTTGTTTAATATTTTCCATGCTTTTATTATAAAATCTTAAAATATACCCGCGTATACGCGGGCCTTAATCTAGTCATATGATATATTCTAATAGGTTGGGTAATTTATTATACTAACTCCAATGTATTTACTAACTCTAGATGATATTTTAAGCTACATCTTAAAAAGTTTGAGTGTTTTAAAATTAAATAGATTAAGAAATACTCCCACTGTCACAAAATATAAGAAGTTTTCAGATATCATGCAAACTTTATTGGGTATTGTGTGACCAAATATATTTTGGAGTTTTTTCAGGAATTTTTTTATTATATTTTATTTATATTAGGTGATATTTTAATTTTAAAAATAGTTTCATTTATTTATGTGTTTTACCTAAAACAACGTATTTAATGGGATACAGGAAGGACTAATTACTAGCTAAATTAAGAGTAATCAGAAAATGTAAACAACAAAATATAACAAATCGAAGAGCTCAGTAATAAAAATATTTCTTAAAAAAATTAAAACATCAACGACACTGATTGAAATTTAAAATTTTAAACCATACCATAGCTATAAACTTTTTTTTTAACCATATTTTATCTATTTTATTTGAAAAACGATACAGAAGAGTTAAAGTCTTACCGAGCAATTTTCAAATAATACACCTTATGCAAATCGAAGTTTGCAAGTACTAGAAACTAGAAAATAATCGAATCTTCCGCTTCGATTAAGTAGAAACATCAATGAGGATGACTAACTAGCCACAACCACCCCTATTACCACGACCTCGATTACCATGTCCTCGGACTACGGCTTGCATTTCCTTAGCCCTTTGTGGAAAATGGAACCGGTCGTTCCCGAAGGATTCTTTTTCCCAAGGCATAAAGTAAAGGGCTTTTTTCAAGCCTGTGTCCAACCATCCAACTAGTATGATATTGTCCGCTTTGGGTACATGTATCTTAACCCTCACGGTTTTTGTTATTGGGCTCCTTCCCAAAAGGCCTCTTACTAGTTAGGTTGGACAATACTTATATATTAGACACTTCTTGTTTAATATTTCGATGTGGGACTTGGATTGATATCCAACATTTAATGCCAACATTCACAGGTCCACTTCTTTGGATCTAGGTTCTGATACCAATTAAAGGGCTTTTTTCAAGCATGTGTCCAACCATCCAACTAGTATGATATTGTCCGTCTTGGGTACATGTATCTTAACCCTAAAAAGGCCTCATACTAGTTAGGTTGGACACTACTTATATATTAGACACTTCTTTGTCTAATATCCGGTGGAACTTGGATTGATATCCAACATTCTCCCCTTCAAGCCAAGGACCACATAACTCGTGACTCCTCCATCTTCTTGAGGGCTTTCTTCCCACATCTTGTGTAATGCCCACACCCACTTCTCCAGGTCCACTTTCTTTGAACCATGGCTCTCATACCAATTAAAAGGGCTTTTCAAGCCCGTGTCCAACCGTCTAACTAGTATGATATTGTCCGCTTTGGGTTCATGTATCTTAACCCTCACGGATTTGTTATTGGGCTTCTTCCCAAAAGGCCTTTTACTAGTTAGGTTGGACAATACTTATATATTAGACACTTCTTGTCTAATATTCCGATTGGGACTTGGATTGATATCCAACATTTTCCCCTTCAAGCCAAGAACCACATAATCTCGTGGCTCCTCCACCACCTTCTTGTGGCCTTTTTAGCGAAACTTGGCTCTCTTCTTGTGCTGCCGTAACTCCTCTACGGGACTCTGCACAAGATCTTGGCATCCCTTATCGCAAGTTTAACTTGAGGGCTTTCTTCCCACATCTTTTTCAAGCCCGTGTCCAACCATCCAACTAGTATGATTTTGTCCGTTTTGAGTTCATGTATCTTAACCCTCATAGATTTGTTATTGGGCTTCTTCCCAAAAAGCCTCTTACTAGTTATGTTGGATAATACTTATATATTAGACACTTCTTGTCTAATATTCCGATGTGGGACTTGGATTGATATCCAACATTTAATGCCAACATTCACAGGTCCACTTCTTTGGATCTAGGCTCTGATACCAATTAAATGGCTTTTAAAGCCCATGTCCAACTATCTAACTAGTATGATATTGTCCGCTTTGGGTACATGTATCTTAACCCTCATGGATTTTTTATTGGGCTTCTTCCCAAAAGGCCTCTTACTAGTTAGGTTGGACAATACTTATATATTAGACACTTCTTGTCTAATATTCCGATGTGGGACTTGGATTGATATCCAACATTTTCCCCTTCAAGCCAAGAACCACATAATCTCGTGGATCCTCCACCTTCTTGTGGCCTTTTTAGTGAAACTTGGCTCCCTTCTTGTGCTGCCGTAACTCCTCTATGGGACTCTGCACAAGATCTTGGCATCCCTTATCGCAAGGTTAACTTGAGGGCTTTCTTCCCACATCTTTTGTAATGCCAACATTCACAGGTCCACTTCTTTGGATCTAGGCTCTGATACCAATTAAAGGGCTCTTAAAGCCCGTGTCCAACTATCTAACTAGTATGATATTGTCCGCTTTGGGTACATGTATCTTAACCCTCATGGATTTGTTATTGGGCTTTTTCCCAAAAGGCATGTTACTAGTTAGGTTGGACAATATTTATATATTAGACACTTCTTGTCTAATATTCCGATGTGGGACTTGGATTGATATCCAACATAAAGAACTCCGAATTTTCAGGCACATGGGGTGGTGGTGGGACTTCGTCGTCATCATCATCTTCATATTCATCTTCAGAAGAATCCAAAGATGCAAATCTGTTGTTTCTCAAAGAGGCGCTAGACAAAGTCCTGCGAATACTGTGTTCAGATGCCACAAGGGAGAGTGAAGCTTGTTTT